CTACAAAACAAATAAAAGCCCATCAGCACGAAGAAACTAACAGTAGAGAATTTTCTACATTTTAATATTTTTTTTATCCTGATAAATGGGGTAACAAAACTAGAACTTGTCATAAACTAGCATCAGTAAAGCTGCATGAGAGTCTGGCAGCTCAGTCAACAACTCCAATATTAAACATCAGTCATGATTTGGAAGATGAGCCAAAAGATGCCATCGGGGTGATGTTGCTGCTTTATAAATATAGTCAGATGCACAGTTTGTTTTTTTTTCTATGGTAGATAAAAATCTCTGCCAGTCGACTGACCCATAAGTTGCTCCTGCAGTTTCTTCTTCTCTGGGTTTTCTCCCTCACTGTCGCTGTCGCTCCTTGAAAACAAACAGAAAGTAAAATGACGTCAAAGCCGCGTTAGTTGCAGCACCTCGTCACCTCGCTCACATCGCCTCAAAGCTTTCCACGTCTCGGATCACGGCCACAAATTTTAACTGACCTTATTGTGATTTTCATGTGATAGACAAACACAAAGCTGTGCATTAAATACAAGAAATCGGTACAAACAGATAAAAATCTAAAACGTGTTGAGTGCATTTGTATTCAGCCTCCCTGGGTCTGTATTTTTGCAGAATCCCGTGTTTCGGGTTTGTTTCAAACGGCTTTCCATACCCAGATTTCCCCCCATTTAAGCTTCGTCATGTTGGATAGAGAGCGTTTGTGAATATTGATTTTCAAGTCTTGCCACAGATTCTCAATTGAATTTCGGTCTGGGCTTTGACTAGGCCATTCTAGCAAATGAATAAGCATCCCACTGCAACACCAGCTTTATGTTTAGGGCCATGGTTCTGCTACAAACCAAAAGTCCAACACAGTTTCAAACAGATTTTCTTCCAGGATCGACCGGGAATAAGCTCCAACCATTTTCTCACTAACAGGTTTCACAGAAGAAAAGCATCCCCAACAGCATAATGCTGCCACCAGCATGTTTTAACATGGGGATGGCAGTTTTTCAGAGTTCTGTGAGAAAGTCAAAGCTTTTAACTTCTCCACATCTTCATCCCTGACCTGTCTGCTGAGTTTCTCTGCCTTCATGATGTCGTTTGTCTACCAATTTTCTCTAACAAACCTCCGAGGCCAGAAACAGAACAGCTGCATTCATAATGAGAGTTGATAACACAGAGATGTACTCTGCTTACAAATTACCTGACCTCTGCTGGAAACTGTTTTTTTTCTAAAGGTGTTTCCTTATAAGCCGAGGGAGGCAATAAAAAATGAAAAATTTACATCACATCTGTAAATTTAAAAACCATGTATCTTTTGTCCTTTCACTTCCCAGGTTTCGGCTACTCTGTGTTGGCACATCACATAAAATCCAAACAAATTCCACTGAAGTTTTGTTGCAGGATTTTAATAAAATCTGAAAAAGCTCCAGGGGTGTGAATACTTCAGCAAGGCACCGAGAACTCTGGGTGCTTTAAGAAGAGAGAAACAACGTACTTGTCATTGCTCTGTGCCTCCTTTACGGGCTTCTTGCCCTGCTTGTCTTTGTTCTTCAGATAGTCTTTGAGTTTCTCTGCTCTGTCCAGGTACTGCATGCACTTGGCTCGTATGCTCTCCTTGGCCTTGTCGCTGTGGGCCTCATCTGGACACAGTGACCATCACACAGCAACGTGAAGAACACGGCACCCGCAGAGGCAGGCAAATTGACGGGATGCAATACTCACACTTGATGGCATGCAGGAAGTATTCCACAGCATGCTGGTACAATCGCAAAGCCTCCTCATAATTCTTCGCTTTGTCCTCCTCTGTGGCTTTGGTGACGAGATCAATCGCTTTCTGCAGCAGATTTGGAAATACAATTTCAGAGGATGAATGCTGGATAGACTGAGAGTTCAAACTGTTAGCCTAGAATCTCAGCCTGCTTCTCCAATTTAAAGTTTGAAAAGATTTTTCGTATTATCCCCAATTTCCACTTTGGCTCTAATCCTTTTTATGACCTTGTTAACTTTTCACAAATTATGAGAAACTATCTTCCAGATCAAACCACAATCCCATTAGACCATGAGTATATTACGCGAGATGTCCAATTTGAGTCAGCCAAGACAGGAGTCCTGCATGTCTTACATATTTCCAGCTTCACTGCTAGGTGTTGCATTCCCTGATGTCGCACATGTTGAAAAAGCTACGCAAAGGGAATAAATCTGTTACAAACAGAGCACTTGTGTCATGACGACTAGAATTGGACGCTGTCCTCTTACAGCATCAAATGTCAAAGTAAGTCCAAAAAGACCTGAAGGAGGAGATCTGAGGTTAAAACTGTAACGGTGGGGCAAAAGGACCAGAAGGCAGCTAAATACAAACACAGCAGAGATTCTGTCCAAACACGTTTTCTTTCATTGACATCAAATTCTGACTGCGCCATCTTGAATGTTGTAGCTGAATTCAAGGCTCCTCGTAACTGTTCAGGCAAGCAGTGACTGTTCAGTTTTAGCAAACCTCTGTAGCATCGTTTATCCCACGTAGACTTTGTTGTACAAAGCGGTGTTTTGAGCTACAGTCACAAACCAGTCTGTCCAGTATCCCCTGACATCAGCAAGACTTTGTCATCGACACAACTGTCGTTTACTGGACATTTTCTCTGTAAACCAGGGAAATTATTCTGCTTAAAGGTTATGTTGGACAAAAAAAGAGATGTTGGACATAATTTTACCAAAACAAACCCTGAAATTCTTGCTGTGCAAGATAAACCTCACATTTATTTACCCTTAAAGAGAAATGTAATGTGAACTCATATTGTTCTGCTACAAGAAATTTATTTGTGCAACTTTTTTGTGGTTCCAGGTTATTGACAGATGGCTTACAAATGTCAAAATTTGTGATTTGTGGTCTGATAGTTGCAGGAAGAAGACAAAAAAAAAGCAAAACTGTTGAACAAAGTTTGTGACCTCTGAACCTTAAAAGACAAACAATCCATTTTATTTACTGTATATGATAAATAGTTTTGGGTAGCACCTGCAGCAATACATATATACTTCAAATGATTATGGAAGGTGAGCAGCATAGACATAATCATGCATTTATGTCTATGGTGTGTAGTATTTAAGTCTTTTGTCTTGGTTTTGAATCAAGTAAAATCGACTACTAAAATCTAGAATTCATCCGGCGATACTAAATAGTTTTAGTAATAAGATATAAACCAATACAAAGGCTTGAAGAAAAACGTTCATTGTTTTAATTGCACAGAACCAGGCTGGTTTAAACTAAAAGGTTAGCTCTGCTAGCGCTACTGGCTAACATTGAAACGTACCTGTAGTGTTGACGTTGTCATTTCATCTCACTTTTCGGCTCCCCGGCCACAGCTTTATCTTCTTATCCCTCCACAAAGGTGAACCCTTAAAAAAATGTTAGTTTGTGACAGTATGTTTACGATAAACTGGCCGTTAGTGACATGACAAGAACAGAGCAGCGGCTAAAGCGCTAGCAACAACAACACTGCAGCTTCAGACAAGCTGGTTGACACGAGAAAAGCTTCCGGTTCAAGTTTTCAAAGAACTACAGAAAAGCCTCCAAACGGAGGTAGTTCTTCTTAAAAGAAACACATCTTTGGACAATTATGTACATTTTGTTGAAAAAAAAATACTAGCGCTAATCTACACACTAATAACAACGATAAAGATGTTGGTAATATATGGGTAATTTGGAGCCAAGGAATCATTAGATCCGGTTAATTAAAGCAAACTTGATAGCTGCCAAGGTCAGTTAAGTTACTGCCACCTAGCGTCGAATTTTGGGTATTACACTCAATTTCAACTCAAAAATACTTTATTAATCCCAAAGGGAAATTAAATGTTGTAACTCGTTAATTTAAATTCTTCAAAAAATTATTGAAGATAATGATGGTTGTTAACAGAAAAAAATCTTCTGCAGCAGTCTGTGCTGCATGGAAAGCATAAAGCGAAGATCTCCACAGAAACACAAATGTATAATTTTAAAAAGTAGCAAAAAAAAAAAAAGGTAAACATCTAATGCGTAAAATGTAATACATTAAATATCTAGCAGTGTGCAAATGTAATACATTTTTATCGTCCACTAACAAAATTTAGAGTAAAGCATGTTCTTCAGGGTTTTAGTATTTTTAAAGGCTTTTAGAGTTAACAGCTTTTCAGCACAGCTATGTGGCAGCCGCATGAACAGCTTCCTTCCACCACATCTTGTAAAATCCCTTGGACAAGCCATTAAATCTGAAATTACCAAAGTGTACTGTTATGCGAGTGTAGAATTATCACTTTGTCATTTAAGCTCCAGGTTTTATCCAATCTTTGTGCAGGAACCTCCTGTGCCGCACTAAGAAAAACAGAATCATCTTTATTTGCCAGCCTTGTGCACACAAAAAAAGGTATTTGACCTCAGCTCTGTTTTGCTCTCGGACATCTGAAATATAAAATATATATGCACTATTTTCACAAAAGGTAAGACCAGATTTCATTGGCGAAAATTTGCATGGCATCAATCTGGGTTCATGGGTGGGGAAGAAACAGCCCCCTTTCTGGTCTGTTTTTAAACAGTTTGTGTCCAGGATGTGTGGGGTCCCCATTAATGTTAGCTAACCTATTCCTGACCTTTGACCTGCACAAGACCTGGATGGAGGGAAGGTCACCCCTCACGAGTTTCCGATGGGAAATGTCTGGGTGGTGCAAACAGACAGAGCAAGGAGAGCATAAATAAGAAAGCAGCTCATGAGAAGTTTGAATTTTGCCACAGTCCATTATGTGGAATAACATACTTTTTAAATGTGAAAACCTTCAAGTGATCTGAAAACTTTAGAAAAGCTGTACCGTGTACGTATGAGCAACCTCCCACAAGGAGGGCTTCTAGTTAGGAAGCCCGTTCCACCTTTACTATTACGTTTGTGTTCAACTAAAGTAAAATGAACTCCAATTACAACTAAAGTCTAAAATGAACTCTAATTACAAAGTGAAATCAAAAACCACAAGAAAACAAGACAAAAACATTCAATTTACAGTTTTATTGATATTTACACTTAAAGTAACTACATTGGTATTGTACATTGTATACTGTATTTTGGAAGGGTATCTAAAATACTTTGCATATGACAAGTTGTTGCAGCAGCACTGTCATTTTTCAGTCTTATGATTGTGTAGGACGCAAGCTGCCACAGATAATACCTTTGGTTTGATAAAACCCTTTCTTTGAAGCGTTAATTTGCATAGACAGGAACGCCGTGATTTCATAAGAAGAAAAAAAGAGAGGAAGAAGGTTAAAGTGTACATTCAAAGGTTTAAAGGGGTTTGCCAGATGAGTGCATCAATTTAAAACAGGAAAACCTGAAGCTTATTGAGTAAATTAACATAATTATAAGGTCATAGCTACATAAGCAGACGTAACATCAACAGCCTCAAGAACAATCTTTACCGTACGCTCAACAATGTAGCAGGAATTCATTTATGCCGAGTGGAATAAGGGAAGTAGAGTCTACTTCTGTTTAAGCACCGTTAACGTTAACTTCTTTTGAATGAGGGCTAAAATAAGTTTAAAAAAGGAACTGGACAGAAATGTGTCTTCACTTTCTAAAAATGTTGTTTTTCTAAAGTACGGAGGTCAGTCAGGCCGGACAGACCTTGTTCTGAGAACAGAGAGGTTGGTCTTGTTTTCCTGCGGTGCAGTCGGTGGACACAAAGGGACATTGTCCGAGGTCTAAAAGAACTGAGGCTTCACTGAGGGGGAACTTCAGAAACATGAACCAGTCCCAGATGATGCCTGTGTGTAAATGATAATCATACTAAATTTGTACACCTTGGCACCATTGATGAAGCTCGTTTCCACATCTCACCGTCTTTAGCATGCCCTTATTTATCCTAATTTACAGACTAAAAGACCACAAAGCCTTTAGACATCAACAGTTGTATATAAATGGTGACAGAGCTTTATTCAGAGCATGCTGCTCAAGTCTAGATTGTTTTAATATCGTGTTATATGTCATATTGTCCTAATTTTATCAACATTTTAAGTTGAGGACTATGATACCCAAATTAAACTCACCTGGACCAGGGACTAGTTTAAGTTTAAAATCTGCTCAAAGCTAGGTTCAGCTAGCATTCAGTCGAGTAATAGCTTGACTGATGCTACATTATCTTTTTACTGAGATTTTTAATAAGAACTTTTAAATGTTTTTTTTTTTTTTTGTGGAAATTATTCAAATTTAAATTACAAAACGGAGTAAAAGTCTTTTGAAACGTTCATGGCTTTGATCAAATAAAAGGTCCTGCTAAAAGCTAAACTTCTAGTTGAACTAGCCTAGCTTAGCATGAATGATAAACTCTGGAAAAACTCCCACTTGTCAGGTTAGGTAACTTTATATGGTCTATATAACATAAGTAAAGCAGTATGTTATATTTCAAAATCACATAACAGACTAGCAATGTATTTTAAGTAAATTTACAGTTAAGATCAGTTTCTGTTTTTCTCTTGTTTTGATGAGAGCAATAAAAATCATTTATCTTTTAAACAGTTCATTTGAGAGAAACGTGTCCTTTTTACAATTACACAAAGACAGTAAAATGAGCTTTTGTTGATATGATGACTTTTTGTTGTATTTGAAAACACACTTTTAAAACTGATGTTACTTAGGGATAAGCCTGATTTGAATATATTAATAATCAGCAACAAGGTTGTAGTTTCAATTATTTCCAATGTAAGGTTGAACAATTGACATTTTCACAAACTTTTGAGGTGATTCATCCTGAAAACTACTACTTTTAAAGGTATATATATTTTTTGTCTTGATGGAAAATCTGTGAATTTCGCAGTTGGTGGTGTGAAACGTGGCCAACATTTTTCGTGCGACAAGCTTGTCAAAATCTTTTGCCACTTCGACAAAATAAGAGAGCTTGTTTGGATGATCTCTGTCGAGGGAAAAGTAAAGAAAAGTTTAAAATAGGTTTAAGGAAGCGGCTCTTGAAATACATTCATATTTCTGTAGCGTGATGGCATGCAGGTCGGACAAGTCTTTATACCGTAACTCGCTGCAGAAGTTGTAGTAGAGAAGGAGGGGGAAAAAAAAGAAGAGGTAATTTTAAGCAACTTGGATAAAACAGAATGGGGAAAACGGAGAGTTGCAGCTGGAAGAGAAAGTAACTTATCGTCTGATGGTTGATCAGAGAGTCATGCTTTCATGGGAAAGATACACACTTATAAAACACAGTAACATGGTTTACACTATCAGAGTAACACTATTGCTTGTGCATGATCAAAGCTCTTATATCGTGGAGTATAAAAGGAAACCTTATAAAGAGTGTCTTTGACTACAAGTTAAAAAGGCACAGCTGGCGATCCTGATTACAAACAGTAGTTAGGGATAACGTGCGGACACACCGTCTCCAGCTTGTAGTATGGAGTCACACTGTTTGACTGCATCGTGACTCAAACACCTTCCTAGCACGGGCCGACACAAAGACAAACACGCGTTAAAAAGAGCCCAGCTGCATGGGAAGGCTGTAATGGAATGATAGGCAGAGTAAAAACAGGGGAAAAAAAAAAAAAAAAAAAAATCAGTTTGTGCTCAACTCTGTGTTTTGTATCTACAAAAGCCCTCCTGACTGAGGTTTTTCAGTAAAACTCATAGAGTGCTGCGGTCTCTTACGTCAGCCCACCACAGCCAGGTTTAAACTTTGCTCTGTGGAATGTGGAGAGATTTTATCAACTCTTGCTTTTTTGCACGTTGATGTAGCTTCCTTAATCCTCCCGACCCGAAGCGAAACGCTCCTTCCTTTTACACCAACTTTGCAGCGCAGATGATTACGAGAGGCTGAGAGGGGAGAGGGGGGGTAGGGTGGGAGCCAGAAGGCACATTTCTGAGACAATCAACAAAACGACTCGTGCTTTAAACTTTCCCTGCAGCGCCGCCGGCAGGCCTAACCTCAACCATGAGTCGAGAAAGTGGGGAGGGGGGAGGAAATAAAATAATAAAAAAAAAAAAAAAATCGGCTGTAAAATGTAAATCCTTCCGTCTGTGCTGAAGCGAGTCGGCTAGTTCACGTCAGAAGGCCCATGCGGGTGAGCTTGGCTGACAGGAAGGAGTGGAGGACGAAGACCACCGGCTTTGGACCCGAGTGGAGGTCGAACACCTGCAGGGAGGAAGGAGGAAGGAAGGCAGTGAGTAAGACGTTTAAAAACAAAAGGACAATAGCGCGGAACAGATGGGACAAATGAAGACAAGGATGTGAAGGTACGACGTGACTTCATTAATCGGTTATCTGCTCTGAAAGGAAGTAACTAAGTTAGCAAGAAAATTATAATTTTTTACATGTCAACATTTTTTGTTCAATTTTAAAACAAAGATTTCAAGTTCTACGTTTTATTGGTGTATTAGAACAAAACAGATTTTTTTATTATTATTCAAATGACAAGTTATAGAAAAACAACAGAAAAACTATGTAGTTCATTTATTGTTTTATTTTTTAAACCAGTAATAATTTGAAAATCTTAAAACTGAGAAAACCATTATTTGTTTTCTTGCCTTCACAAAAAAAATAAAAAAATTTTTTAGATGTTACTGATCATTCAAAACAAAATAAATATTTGTACAACATATTAGAATAAATAAAATCATTTAATGTAATGCGGGACACATGGTTGGTTATTTTTACGCAAAGTTCAGTCTGTTTCTTATCACAAAAGAACAAGAGAGGAAACAAACTTCCTGAAAATGTTCGATGTTCTCCGAGAAATGAATCACAGTCCCTGTCGACCAACAAATCTGAAATGTTTAGTCTGTGGGTTAAATGTTTTGTTGAGCTTAAAGTTGTTTATTCTGTAGAACGACTGGATTTTTGTGAGATCACGGTGATGTTCAAACATTTCATCGTTTTCTCAGCACTTCGTCACCGACTCACAGGAACCGCACAGAGATTATTACTACAGCTTTGTTTTATTTTTATAATTGCGGTTTGCATACAAGATTACCAAGCAACCATGAAAGAGACGAGCCTGGGATGTTTCATTTGTAACGGATGAAGAAAATTAAAGCAATAGGAGAAAATACTGTAAAGACAAAGTGTGAGTTCAGAGAGGGCGAGAGAAATTTTAAAACACACAGCCGAAAACTCAGTCTTCGAATGTTTGCTTTGGACCAAAGGCCACACAAAGCAGTTATAAATCAGTCACCGCTTCTGTCTAAGCAAAGTCTTTTTCTACAGAGACGCGCAAAAACAGAGCGAGGGATGTGAAGTGTTATTCAAATCTGATGCGTTATTGTAAACAAAGCAGTGGAAACATGACAGGAGAGTTCAGAAGAGCCCAGCGCTGATCTGTGTATCTGCAAAGCATAAATTAACGTTTCTGACAGCAACTGTAGTATTGTTTATTGGGTTAGAATAAATCAGATAATGTTACCCGTTTGGATATAAAAAAAAAAATATATTTTCAGCCAAATTTAGGTCATTGCTAATTTTCAGTGGAATTATGTTATATTTTTGGTCTTTGTTTAAATATTTTTAAGGCTTTGTAAATAAAACAAACAACGCTTCGTGAATTTACTTCTTTATTTGGCGTCCTGTGAGGTTTCGTTGATTCATCATGAGTGAGTTGTGTGGAAGGTTTTTGCACTATTTTGTCCTATTTTGTTGTTGCACAGCTGTGTTGCATATTTTAATCATGTAAAATCCAGACATTCCTCTGACACTGAAAGTGTTTTTCACATCTTAAAATGACATTCACAGGAAAGAGCAGTCATGCTACAATAACTAAAACTGCTTTAAAATATACTCCAAGTCAAATTATCAACAAGAGGCATCAAAACCCATTGAACATGCTAACATTAGCCTAGCACTTTAGCGCACTCATAATGCGGCATGAGCGAGACACGAGTTTAACGAATGTGCAGTCATATTTTTATCGTTACAAACTGAGAACAGAGCCATTTACATTTCCAGCAGTGTGTTGTCAGAATATTAGAGGCTTTTCTGACTTTCTTAGGAAAAGCGACTTGGTTGGAACACCAACCGTATCAATATTGGATAGCGATGTAGACAAAAAGGTTCATATTGGTGCAGCCCTAATTTTACATTAAGCTACTGATTTTTCAGGCATATAAAAAAAACAATATTAAGATAAAAATACACAACATTTTCTAAACACTCAGCTGTCCTCTAGAAGTAAAGCTGTAAAAAAAAAATTACCCTCTTCTGAACTCACCATTTCTCCCTCTGGACCAGCAAAGTCAAGGTAAAGATTGCGTATTCCATCGTCGGCAGACATTTTGAGCTTCTCGTAGGGGTACCTGAAGAGAACAGCGCCCCCTGTCTGGTCAGCTGGCTCCCTTGTAATAGTAAAGCCCTTTTCGTAGTGCAGCGTGAGCCGGACGTCCTGCCTGTTCAACGTGCAACCTGTCAGGAAACGGGCAGGACAAACACAAGAAAATGTCTCAATTGACGTTGATCAGCACCGTTTACAAATTCCAGAAAATTGAAAGAAGCCAATTGATCCATAGATCAGTTGAATATACACACACTTTATAAAAACCATAAGCACACCTCCAAAGTTAGCTAGAAAGTAGCTTAAGCACAACTAAAACTTCAACATGTTGAATCACAAACCTTTAACTTCAGTCCCACAGTATATTTGTGAGCCTAGCTGAAAAGGTATGCGTGAGAGAAAAGGGATCCGCAAACCCGACTCAGGAGGAATGAGCAAAAATGCCAGCTAACTGCTGTGGGAGCACAACCAAAACCTTTGATCATAGTTAATCACTCTCAAAAGCTATTATACCAAATACTGGGGGAATGTAATCTGGAGAATATTTGAAAGAAGTGTTCCGACTGTCAATAAATCTGGCGATCCCGACATACAACAGGAAATGTTTAGTCTAAAGTAATGTCAGATGTATTCGAATATTGAAAATTTAACTAAAGCCTCCTCCCCAAAAGAGTTTATTTTCTATGTAAAACCCAGACAGGCCTGTGCAGACACAAGTCATTTGATCCACAAGCATTTCACTGTGCAACACTGTATCTCCAGTGACATGAATGTTTCTGCACAGCCGTGTGTTTGTGTAGCAACTGGACAAGGAAGGAGCATTTAAAAAAAAAAAAAAAAAAAAAAAAAAGTCAGAGTCTCTCCATTACGGTTCCGACAGGCAGCTATTGTTCTGCTTGGAGCAAAAACATTCCCTTCTCCTGGCTCTCGCTTGTGCTTTTCCCCGACACAGAGCTGCTCTTTCTCTTGAGCTGCGACAAACCGTTGTGGGACAACTGCTGTCAGACGCTTCCTGTTCAGACTATTTTATGTGACCAATCAATAATATGAGACTTAAAAAAACAACAACAACAACAAAAAAAACAATCTAAACATGTATGTTATCCTAAAAAAACCCCATCATTTCAGTTAACCACAGACGAGAATGACATCATACAGAAAGAAGAACCCACATCCTGTGGTTAAAGATCATCACGCTACGGCAAACAGGTCAGCTGTCTCACATAACCTCAACCAGACGCCGTGCAACACGAGTACGCCGAGATAAACGAGTCTCTAAATCTGAAAAGCGAAATCTTGTCAGGCGTTGCTGAGGTTTGATAAGTAGGAGTTTCTGTTACGAGGTAATCCCCAAGTGCAAATTTCAAGATGGATCAGTGAAATCAAAACTAGAAATGGAAATCTGCCAACTTCTCCTCTGATCTTTGCCTTGAAAATGTCCATATTTTCTCAGTCTTTGTGTAATCGGACTGACTGAAGCAATATAGCCTTAACGCCACTTCAGAAGCAATATCGTCTCAAGTCATTCCAACCATTCAGACAGATTCCTACTCAGTCACATACATTCAAATCGATCCTACTTACTAAGCAATGCAGACAAGTTACGTTTATACTTAAAATTAGTTGAAAAGTTTTCTACTTCATGTGGCGACGGAGGAGAGGAAAACTCCCCTTTAACAGGAAGAAACCTTCAGCAGAAACCAGATGCTGGCTCTATAGCTAAACGCAAGTCACTTAAATAATTTGCTGACATTCTTTGCAGTCAAAACAGCAGCACTACAATATATTGTGCAGCTCTACTCCAGATATTTTCCCACTTTACAGGAAGTCAGGAAAGCCTCACCGATGGAGACCTCCTTGATGATCTCAGCCGCGGCGTGCACCCCCTGAACGAGAGCGCGCGTCCACGTGGACAGGTCCCAGTGGGTCTCCACTCTGAAGACGTGTGACTCGATGCCGCGCCCGGTGCCGGTCCGAGTGGCGAACACCAGGTCCGAGCCGTGGGACGGAGAACCCCTGGCGCTGCCGGAGTGAACCAGCCTGAAGAGGGAAACGTAGAACATGTAAGAAGAGCGAGAGAGAGAGAGGAAGGAAAGACGTGTCCTCACAAGACGGATGGCATGTTGACATTTGTTTATGTTTTAAAATGACCCTGAACTATTCTTGGCTCAGGGGTTTCTTCGAAGCTAAACGGATCATCCAACCATAATCCAGCCTCTCTTCCTGCAAGATCTAAGGCTAATACTTTGAAACTAATGTGTTTTTATTATTATTATTATTATTAGTCTTAAAACATTTGCACCTGATTTGGATCCGAGTCTCTGGTTTTCATTGGTTTCTCACATTAAGAACTGAAAAAATTTGCAACCCCTACAGATGGTCAGCTAAGGAAACCAGACAAAAACTGTTGTTTACACAACTAATACATTTATTTAGAGGGAAAGCACTGCATAGCAACAATTTTGGACACCACGCCTTTTCTTTGTGACAAAAAAACTGTCTGAAATCTGTATGAAAAAAAAAAAAAAAAAAAAACTGCTGTCATTTTTGCACAGCACTCTGGCCAACACTACAGATGTTTATAAATGTGCGGTATAAATACATTTGACCTTCGTCAATCAGCGAATCACAGCTGTAATTGTGGCTGCGATTCACTTGAAATTCAGGGAAACAAGAAGCATTAAAAATGTTTTACAGAAATGTTTTACAGAAGGAAAACCAATCAGCGAAACACCATTAATATATCGACTTAACTTAGAAAAGCAGAACTCTGCAGCTTCATGTGAGCATCTGGAAACTCAGATACTCACCACTCATTACTGGAAATTAGAGGGAAGTAATAAAGACAGAAAAGCTGCAACAGAAAGATTGCTGAAAGTTGGGGGGGGGGGGGAGGCAGAAAAAAGAGAAAAGGTCTTTCTGTTCTTTTAAACATTTGCTTAAATATCTTTGTCCTACAAAGAATGATCATGATGATTAAATTAGGAAAATTTACTTATTGTCTGCTGGACAATAAGTAAATTATTGTCCAGCCAAGACCAAGACAGACGACTTTGGCAGAAAACATAATGCAATGCACCTCAGCAGCTGAAGGTTTAACTCATTCCATCTGAATTCAGGACATTAAAAACCCTTAAAGGGAGAACACTTGCAGCCGCAGCACCTGTCTTTACCTGGTGGCGAGAAGCGGGTGCGTGAGCAGAGGCATGGACCAGGACTCTCTGCTCCACGGCACCGATTCAAACAACAGGATGTCTTTTTCCGTCAGCGCCATGACGACCGGCCTGAACTGCTGCCGTCCGCCTTCCAGCTGAATCTGCGATATCAATTCAAGAAGAGGAATCGAAACGGACACTTTTTAGTTTTGGAGGTTTTCCTGTGGAGTCTGGATGAAATGCAGAGTCAGGAAGAGGATTTAATCGTTTCACACAGAACGGCTCATTTCAAAGTGAATCGCGGTACTGTGTGGAGTCAGAGCTGCAGCGTATTAGGAACAGACTCTTCTGACCTCAGACTGAACTTAATATTTTAGCTTTTTTTTTTTTTTCCTCGGATCAGCTGGTAATCACACATGTACTATGTTTTCACCTTTGAGGTTCTCCAAGGTGCTTCTGTTTCTAAAGTGAAACAAATATGAATAATAAATAAAATTTTTATAGAACATTTTCGGACATCAACTCAAATATCGGCCACCTTTCATATCAGTCACAATATATACTTCTATACAATTTAATTATAAGTTGATGTCAGAATGTTTGTTATCTTAGCAAACATGTTGCATATTTTAAAATAATTTTTTTCTTGATCAAACGGTTTGTGGATTTCACATCTGTGTTCGTGTAAGATGCAAATGTGTTGCATATGTTTTATGCATACTGAGAAAAAAAATTAACAATATAGTAGTTTTTCCTAACAATTCCCTGACCACCTAGGGATGAAAGTTTAATAAATAAATACAGTGGCTTGCTAAAGTATTCAAACTCTTTGAACGTCTCCAGATTTTGTCACATTACAAGCCTACACACTTTCCAGTTTTTTATTTGTAAAACAAAACTATATTGTATCGTGAAATTCTTTTTCTTTTTAATTCACAATTGTATACCACTTTTGTGTTGGTCTTTCACATTAAACTACAATGAAATATATTTATGTTTGTGGCTGTAACGTGACAAAATATGGAAAAGTTTAAGTGGTGTGAATACGTTTGCAAGCCACTGAAAATGAAATAAAAGCAGAAACAATAAGTCAACTCCCTGCGAGTCAAACGGCACTAAAAATGTGTCTTTAAGATTTAAAACCCATCACACCGACGCCTCAGAAAGACCCACCCCCGCCCCAAAAACACTGTGTGTGTGAATTTCAGTGCGATAATTATGCAGTGCTGACAAGGTAAAGATGTGTTGATGCAGCAGTCGAGTTCAGCAGCTCACAATCTGACCTGAATCTCGTAAGAGCTCTGGGGAAGAAAAGAAAATGGAGCGTTTTATCTTTCCTTCTTCACTTTAACCGAGTCGCGACTGAACGTCGTCAAACCAGACGGTGCGATTGTGAAAGTGGCTGCTGTGAGTAAGTGGGCTTCACAGGAAACGGCGTAACGCGACGGAAACTTCCACCTGTATTTCCTGTTTTACTCCTGCCAAGATAAAAACGGAAACATACGAGTAAACTCGACCGGCACCTGAATGAACGGTTCAAAGTGAAAAGATATGGATCAGCGTTTCGTTCCTGCGAGTGATTTCAGAACAAGTCCCGATTTGGCTGGCACGTTAGAATTTAGGCTGCTTGTGTGTTTTGAGAAAACATACACTTCCTGTGCATGTTGCATTACAGCGGTAGAGCCGGCCTGTGTGGTTGAGGTCAGGGTGGAAACCTAACAACTAGACTGAAATCCTACACCTGACAAATCTTTTTGAAAGCAAAAAGTGACTCCACTCATAACAGAGATGTGAGCAGTCACAAAAAATTAAGATGAGCACATGGCCTGTAGTTTAAAAACTCATAAATGATGTTTTATCCTTTACAGCTTTCAACCTCTACCTGTGGTGGAACACGGCGGATCAGAAAGTACTGCCAGTCCTTTGTAGATTTAAAAGTTGGGAGATCTACACTCTCTAAGGAACACACACACAGACACACACACACACAGACACACACACACACACACACACACACACACACACACACACACACACACACACACACACTGCTGTTTGAGTAAGGCTATTCAAGCAAACAGTGCTAATCCCCAATACAGGAAACTAAAGAGAGTTTAAAAGGTGAACTTCACAATGTTTTTGTCTTGCAACTTAAAATAGTAAAACCTTATTTAACAGGGACTGTTCTCTCACACACATAGTGTGACATCACCCCTTTTCTTAAATAATGAACATCAGTCCAACAGAACCACAAATTTAACTTTGTAAAAAGAGAAATCGCATCGCATCAGCAGTCTAAACAAAACAAAAAACATTTTCAGCCACTAAATTATGCTCAGTGTATCTTTGCAAAATTCAACCTTAAATAATGAAAACATACATTTTGCATCTTTGAAAATCTAATTTAGTGTTGAACAGATTATTTTTAAGCACAGAAAACTGAATTTACTTTGAAAAAACTTGTACAAAGTTCCAGGAAGCATCACACTATAAATCTATTGTATCCAGTTAACGTTTGATGGAAACCGACACATCAATTTAAAACAGTGAGACGGGTACAATATCAGAATAGAGAGGACAAAGCTAAGGGAATGTGCTTTGAGGCACGAATGGGGATAATGTTATTTTTATAATGTTTTTTAACTACATTTGTTGAATCTAAATAAAGTTTACATAAATTATCCACAGCCCTTATAAAGGGAAATCAGATTATTGGACCTAGTTTTACAGTAGGGTGCACATATTTTTTTTTTCTTTATTTTGATGTGATCCAGCGTTTTTCTTCCATTTTGTGACCTTTCTTCGTCGCTTGTCATTTCGCATGAGACCGTTTCGTGCCAGATGGCGTTACACAATGACCACTGAGAAATGCAGAGGGACGCGGATTCAACGAAGCGCCAAATCAAAACTCTTCCCTGGAGGATTGTCTTGCAAGTCATTTGAGTTTCTCTATGAATAGTTTCAGCCCTACTTAGCATTTCACAGCGCGTGTTTTTAGCGGATGTCTTTCACAAAAGATGTCACTGAGCCTGCAGTGATTCATTTCACTTTATGGCATATCTAGATCGCAGCGGGTAAATTTATCCTTTATGAACTCCACAGATTTAATCAGGAAAAATAAACTTGATTCTTAAGAAAAGCATGGGTGGAAAAGAGGAAAGAAAAATACTAATGGAAGGAATACATAAATGTCTATTTAAGTAATTCAACGATCCCCCAGAAAATCAGTTGTTTTTTTTTTTTAAGAGTAGTTTCTGCGTACCTGTTCAGCCAGCCAGCCGATGTGTTTAAGGTGGGGGTGTGTGGAGGCTGCAGACGAGGCCCCCAGGTAGGCGTTGATGTGTGCCAGCGTCTGCGGCAGGAGAGCGGCTATGTTGGTGTGTATGGCAGTGAACCAGGAGTTGGCTGTGGCTCCGTCTTTACAGCGCAGCACCACGGTGTGCTGGCCGTCCGGGGAGTGCAGCTCCAGCAGCCTGCATGGAACAGGACAAGTTTACTATTTTGGGGGGGGGGAATAAAAACTGTAAAAGAATGTCGAGGGAAAGCTGAAACAAATTAGCGTTTTAGTTTATAGATCAAAATTTTATTTTCTAGTTGGGTCCCAGAAAACATTTCCTCAAATTTTTGCCAAAAACTCTCTTGTAAAATGTGACTTGATTCAATTATATTGAGCTCCGTCTGATTATCTGGAGGAACAGTCAGTTCCTACCGTAAACCAGCAAAAGAACGCCCGCTCCTGAAAGAAGCTTGCTGTAGTTTAATGAGTTAAAATTAAGAAGAAGAAGGGAAAAAAAAAACAACTTGCTGCCATATCCACAATGAACTGCTTGGTCATAAGAGTGTTTATATTTAACGAAGTTTGGTTTGACTAGAGGAATTTCAAAAGATGGCTAAAACCTTTTCGTTTTCCTCAAGCTTACTGTGCTTAGGTAACCTGGGACAAAAAGCAATATGCATTATTTTATGTTCTTTAGATAATAAAATAAGCCAAATGTAAGTTTTTTAAAATGTTACCAAGTTACTACTCATCATACATTAACTATGAATGTTACTATTAATTCCTTAAGCGTAAGGAATTAATAGACATTATTGGTTTTAAAAATGCTTCCTGAAGTTATAATTTTACTTGCTTCTGTTCTTCAGTTTTATCGATCTGAACTGTCGGCCTCGGTTAGACAAAATGTAACTTTGGAAATATTGCCAGCCATTTGGACAATTAAAAGTAAAGTTCTCGTTTGGGGATAAATGCAAACTCCTGCTCACGATGGTGCCAGTTGTGCTAACCGCTAACGAAGGATGCTGAAATCAGTTTAAAGTGTCAACTAAGTTATCATTTTGTCTTTGTGTCAAAAAAGAAGAAGAAGAAAAAAAGTTAAATCCAGTTTGTGACTGCTCTCTTTCACACACAGTGTGACACCAGCTTTCCCTCTTATATAAATATTTAATGACAGCAGGAAGGCCGGGAAAAAAAAAACCACGCTGAATCTTTCCATAGAAAACAGAAATGATTAAATTCAGGTTAAAAGTTTTACAAAAGACCCGAGACTGGAAATCAACCACAGATCTCCGGTCGAAGCACTTCTGGTTCAGAATAAATTGTCATTCAGACTGCAGAATAACTGCATGTGGAGTTGTGAATATGACTGAGGAAAACTTAAACAAACAGCAATGATTAACGGAGGTGATCTTCACTGATCCACCTGTGGCTGCAGCAGTAAACAAAGTTAGCCCAAATATCCTTTATTATTATTTTACTAACTATATTAATGTGTTTGTATATTTTTTGTAGTTTTAAGATAAATATATTTAAATGACCAATAAAATTTTAAAAATAATTCTAGGCAATGTACTAAATAACTAGCAGACAGGAGAGCAACTTTTTCACAAATGTAGCCAACACTATCTGATTAATCTTCCTGTTTTAGATCAACATGCTCAGAGGAGGTTTTTGTTGTCTTGCCCGTAATGTTTAACAAAAATAAACATTCCAATCTAATGAACAGACGAGAGACGCACACAGACAAACCCAAACCCATCTCCCACACAGACGCACCCAGCCCTCCCTCAGCCTCAGGTATTTCAGTTCCCAGCACGACAGCAAACCTGTTCTCCAGATCAGGCATGGTGAGGTTCCTGCTGATGAAGCACATCTTCAGGCTGATGACCTTCCTGTCTTTGGACGAGGACGATGAGCTGCTGTGCTTGGGCGACCCGGAGTCGTCGCTGCCGCTGTAGCTGGGGGACTGTGGGCGGACGCCGTCCCACTGCAGGTCGGCCACCAGGGACGGCTTCTTGAAGAGCGGAGACACCTCGCGGATGTACTTCACTGAGGATGGGTGAAAAAAAAAAACAAACAAACATAAAAAAACAGTTCAGTAAAGGTACAGTTCATTTCACTTGGGTGGGTTCCTATTAAATAACGTCCAAGAGGCGAACAGTGCAAAAGAGCCCTAAATATTATGCTCTTAATATATTTTTAAACTGGATATTTATTCCCAATTTCTGGAAAAAGAAACATATCCACATGAGTTCTGAAATAACACTTCAGCAAGACTTTTCTAACAGCACAACAATGTTTAGAGCATCATAGTTAAATGGAAGACCCTGAGCATGGGCTAAAGCAGCGCTTGGCTAAAAACTCTTCCAAAAGCAAACTAAAAAGCAACATGTTGTTCTGCAGCTATTTTGGTTTCAAGCACAGGAAATGAACAAAGGAGACACACAAAACTGATTCTGCACGTCGACGCAAAGTAAATCTGGGATCCCAGAGGCCAAGCAGTCGTGTAGCAGTGCATGTTTGAGGTGTTCTCCTGCTTGAACACACCTGACGTCAAAGAATGAGTCATAGGCAGGCCCCAGCAGGGAGCAAGGAGTTAGCGAAACAACAGAGCAGCTACACATTAAAAACGTGCAGACCCTGCAGGACAGGAATTACCCATCTCTGCTGGAGAGGCTGATTTTCCAAAGAAAATGAATAAAACATCTGTTTGGACAAATCTCAGGAGTAAAATAGAAACTTCAGTTATTCAACACAATACAAAGAAATGCATCTGATGAATGCCGACAGACAGCCAAGGATGCATCTATTCGTTTGATCAGATCCACCCAGTGACAGCTGGTTACTACAGAGGGAAAGTGGCTGCAGACTAAAACCCTTTCAACCCTTTCAAGTTCACTTCCTGGTGTGCAAATGAACGATGAAATATCTGCAGCTGCATTTTCCTAAAACTATATCTAGAGCTGAGTGCGTAAGAGAAACTAGTCCAGAAGAAAACCAAGTACAGATGTGGGGTTGGCCAGTTGGCTGTTTGTACAATAAAAGGGAGGTGAGAGAGGAGGGGGGGGGGGGCGTTTGTTCTGGTGTGGTGGGGTCGCCTTCCAAATTTGGTCCTGTGGCCTCCTGTCCCCACGGCGGCCTCACTGTTATTCCCCTCTCTCCCTTCCCAACATGAAGGTTTTATCTTTTCATTGTTTCCTCCTGCCTCTGCTCTCATACTCTTCGTATGATGATGGTGAAAACAGGGCAGGAACATTTCTGAGTGTGTTTGAGTTGGACAATGAGTCCGTCTGCTTCGTATGAAACCTGAGACGGCCCTCTGAGGAGATGAGGTCACTCTTGAACGTAGATATTCCTTGTGAGTCTGTGCTTCCTGAAGAGAGCGGTGAGTTTCTAACCAGAACGAAACACGCTTAGGATGAGATGTGAACAGTTAAAACGAAAGAGCTATTCTAACTCCCAATTTGTTGAATTCTGAATTAGCAGTGACTATTTAAAATAAATGAAACTTTCACAAGCCACACTTGGTGCCGATCGTCCCTGCCAGACATGTACAACCGAGATATCAATAAACAAGAGCCTGCAGAGCAACACGAAGTAGGCTAGAAGATCTCAAAAAGCAATGCATCACGCCCCTGATCAAAACAAAGTCAAAAGCCGATGAGAAACAACAGTCTGATCACAGATCTGCAGAAGCAGAGGAGGCTGCAGTGTGCATAAGCCCCTGCATGCTGCTGTGTACGTTACTCTATGCATGACTCAGAACACAAGACTGGGCGGGGAGCTACGCCGAGGAAACGGGCCAAGGCCGACCATCCTAACCACATCTCCCACACCGACAAGAAACGGGAGCGTTTCTGCAGACGCAAGTGGTTTAGAGTGAGGGAGAGAGTGTGAAAGCATTCCTGGATGCCTGTGCGAGGCTCACAGGAAAGAGAGCGGCTCTGTAAAGTCAAGGTGTCACTAATCAACAGAACTGAAGGAGAAATATTGAGACGAGACACTTTCTGTAGGTAGACAATCTCCCATCTGTGGTTTTACTAGTTAAACAGATAATCAGAGTGTAATAATGAACTAACAGATAATCAGAGTGTAATAATGAACTAATAACAGATAATCAGAGTGTAATAATGAACTAATAACACCAAGTCTTCACCAGACTTTAAAGGTCTAAATGCTACTAACTTTTACTCAAAGCAGTGTAAACAAATAGAGATATAAAAAGTTGCCAGCCAGAATCCAGCTCGAGTTACTTGATATTTTAGTTAACTTTGGGTATTCTATGTTTTCCACAGAATAAATTTGCTAACAATACTAAATCCTGTTTGTGTGTGTAGGTGCCAAATATCCTTTTGAACCTTTTTTAAGTGCTAAAGTTCATCTCCTACACAGTTCTGTTTTTACTGACTAAACCAGTTTCACAATGAATCATGTCAATAAAAGAGAAAATAAAAGCGCTGGTTTATCCATTCTCTTTGTTAAGCTGCTTTATTCATTTCCAGATATTCACTTCTCTTCACTAGCTTAGCTTGTTGTATTATAAATAAGTAGTTAATCTGTTTATATATTAAATCTATTGTTTCTTTGGTGTCCGGAGGGCATCACCGAAGTCACAGCTTTAAGCTAACAAACTTTAAGCCGATTCAGCAAGTTTGCATGGAGCCAGTCAAAGAAAAAAAAAAAAACCAACAACAGTCTGCACCAACTTTAAATGTGCCATCATTTCCTTCAGAGGGTGAACAGAAGCAGAAACTGTAGTCATTTCCAAGCCATCATCGGCGAACAGCTATGCTGCTCAGTCTCCATCTCCAAGCACCCGGCGCTCTGTGCCACCCCGACTCGGTCGGCTTCTTATTCCGACAGCCTCTCAGCTAATGAGGAAGTCCGCTCTTCCTCATTAGCAAGTCACCTTCCATCAACTAGACATCACTGTTTATCTTTATATCCATCAAAACAACTGAAAATAGCCAACTGGAACACAGTGCATGGAGCTATAAATTAAATTGCATGCCTTGTCATGCAAGCGTGTTATTTTTACCTTCATAAAATGCTAATCAGACTGCATTTAGCTTTCACACTTTAAAAAATAAAATAAAAATAGAGACCGTCTAAAAGCCAGAACTCGGTAACTGCTTCACTTCTCATGCATTTAGTCATGTGAAGTTTGGAGAGAGAGAAAAAAACCCCGGCTGCAAACAACGTGGAAATTATGACTTCATCAGCAAGAAGCAGGTTAAAATAGGTAACTTTCTATCAAATCTTTTAGATGTCATCGTTAAGCACATTTGTTGTTAAAGGACAAAAAGCAATTCTGGGAAAATGAATAACAGAAGTGGGGACTTGGAATACTCTCCTGCGTGCCCCTTGTGTAAACTGTAATTATGGTCTTGCTTTGCAGCAGTGGAGTTTGTAAAAGCTCTGCTGTGTGACTTTTTGGCAGCGCATGGACCATTCTACATCTGCTTTTATTCAGTTTCCTTTAGTCTAAACAATGAGGCCTCCAAGCAGCTGTAATCTTTTATGTAGTCAGATAAGTCAAATCTATCAGCGGTGCCTCGTTTAAAAGCCGAGATGTTTCGAATCCTGCGGGAAAAAACTGAGAACGCCTTTGCCATTTCTACCTCCTTCATCCCATTGGCTAGATCGACTACTCCAGGTGGACACTGAGCTAAAACCAACTGGTTTCTGTTCAGGCATCACTCAAGACCTGTAAGTAACTAACTAATATTGTCTGTGTCTACCTGGGAGCCCCTCTTTTCAAGCACGTTGGAATCTTTGGTCTACCCCCCCCCCCCCCCCCGAGTCTCTACAGCCAGAAGCAGCTCTTCAGTCTCTCCATCATAGATGGACTGTTTCATTCCTTTGTGATCATTAAAAAGAGGTTGAATGCATTTGGATGGAACAGCCCGTCTTTCTGGCTTTGTTGCAGTCTGATGAACTCATTAGTGCTTTCAGGCCGATTGCTCAGCTCCACTTCTGCTTCTAATTAGGCCCATCCACAGAGAGCCGGCCGATCTGTGCGTGCAGCATCGTCCGTATGCTTCTGTATAAATGCGCGAGGAGGAGGATTCCCCAGAGACCCCAACCAGCATCCCATAAGGCCATCTCATCTGCTTCCATTTATACCTCGCTGCCTGCCGGCCAAAGAATAGACAGAAGAAAGGGAAGACAACGTCCAGACGTAGAGGAGGACTCTCTGACTAGGCACATATTTGGTTGTGGCAATAGCTGTGGTTCAAAGCGACCCGTAAAACTGCTCCTCTTCTTCACCGCTTACCAAGAACTAATCATCTTCTGGAATGGGTGAAATAATAGCTCACAGAGCGGCGAGTTCGTTGAGTCAGACCCCGGCGTCTGTACTTTCCTCCCCAACTGCCCAGAAATTCTCCTGTGGTTTGGCCTGACACGCTTTCCCCCGCTGGCTTTTCTCTAGCTTCTCTTTCCTTCTCCAAAAGTATCCATCTATCAACCAATGGCGTAATCCCCTCTGAACAATGCCTTGATTCAGCAATATTTGCTCACACTAAAGTGTTAAAAGTCTAAAATATATCAGATTGTGAGGACCATTTTGATTTTCTGCCAGGTTTTTTTTTTTTAAAAAAAAAAAAAAAGAAAACTTAATTATCTTCATGTAAAGTAATCATCTTCTTGATTTGGATAGATGACTGAGCTGCACCGATACATCAGAATTGATATCCGACGTTAATATACCTAGGTTTTTAAGCAGACCAGAGTCCGCTTTTTGGTCCGCATCAGAGTTTGATTGGACATTCACAGCACCACAAATGAAACATAGCTTCTAAGCAAGCGAGCTAGAGTTTAATTAAAACAGAATAATCAGGTCTGGTGTGAAAGCACCCTAAAACTGGGGTCTGGACTTGGATAAATTCAAACCGTCCCCTCTGCTACATTATGATATAACCTCAGTGAGAGCATTTGAAAATAATAATAATTTAAAAAAAAAAACAAGAAAAAAAAACTAGCAACTGCTTTATGCTAAAAAACACTTTTGCAACGCTACGCCGCCACATTTATTTAATTACTTGACT